GAGTGTGGTGGAGCACGTGCGGGAGATGGCGGCCGCCGGGCTGCACTCGAACGTGCGGCTGCTCAGCGGGCTGCTCCTCACCATGAGCGGCAACAACCCGTGAGTGCCCCGCCGGCAGGGGGCGCGCGCCGAGTGTGGGGGGAGCGGGGCCGCTTTTGGGGTGTCCCTGTCCTGCTTTGTCCCTGTCCTGCTCTGTCCCTGTCCTGCTCTGTCCCTGTCCTGCTCTGTCCCTCTCCTCTCCTGTCCTGTCCTCTGCCCCTGCCCTGTCCCTACCAGGGATGGAGCCCACCTCTGTTCCCGTATCAGCATCAGCGTCCCTTTGGGGTGCCCGCTCCGAAATGGGTGTCCTAGCAGAGAATCACAGAATCACCAAAGGGACCTTGGAGATCGTTTTGTTTCACCCCTCCTGCCATGGGCAGGGGCACTTTCCCCTATCCCAGGGTGCTCCAAGCCCCTTCCAGCCTGGCCTTGGACACTTCCAGGGATCCAGGGACAGCCACAGCTTCTCTGGGCATCCTGTGGTAAGGTCTCACCTCCCTCACAGATTTTTCCCCAGAATCCAATCTGAACCTGCCCTCTGTCAGTGTGAAGCCATTCCCCCTTGTCCTGGCACTGCAGGTCCTTGTAAAATTGTCTCTCTCCATGCTCTTTGTTGGCTCCCTTCAGGTCCTGGAAGGCCACAGTTAGGTCATTTGTTCTGCACACGTACTAAGAATGTTCTAAAGGGGGTCTATATAATGTTGGAATAGGGATTAGGACCACAACAGCTGTACAAGGAACTAGGCTGCCTTTTAAACTGGAGTCCATTCAAACAATACACTGTTCTGAAGTTTGAACAGGCAACTGTTCCTTACCTAACAAAAGGTGAATGAATCCTAGGAGAAAGTTGATGCAGTGTCAGGGACATTGACAGCCTGTGGCTTGTTACAGAAAGGATGGGGGCAGTGGCCAAGCAGCCAAACACTGAGCTGCTGTGCTGATGAGGTGTCAGGAGTGGCTATTGGATTTGTTTGTTTATGGATAAAAGAAATTGGTGAGATAACCCCTGTGTGAGGAGTCAGTGCTGTTACTCAATGGTCCTTCCAGTGCAGTAAAGAAGCTGCAGCAGTTGCAAGTTGAAGCCAGACAAATCAAAGTTACAAGTACTTTGGATCTGTAAGGTTTTGATTCTTGTGCAGCCATCTGATCTCAGCCTTTCTGTCTGCATTTCTCCTAGGGAACTGTTCTCTCCTTCTCAGAAATACCAGCTCCTTGTCTATCATGCAGACTCCCTCTTCCATGACAAGGAATACAGAAATGCTGTCAGCAAGTACACCATGGCCTTACAGCAGAAAAAAGCCTTAAGTAAAACCTCCAAAGTCAGACCTTCTACTGGGAATGCTGCATCAACACCCCAAAGCCAGGTATTTAAGAATTTATAATGTCCTGCATCAAGTGATCATGTTCCCCCTTCCAATAAATGTTGCTGACTCAGTATTCACGGAGTCACTGAGGCTGGAAGAGATCCTTAAGACAGAATCCCTGCCAAATCCATCACTAACCACATCCATGAACATCACCTTTACATGTATTTTAACCACCTTAGAATGTGCATTTATCATGTCAAATAAACCTGACATTTAAGGCTAATCAGTTTGATAATATCTGTGGTGTTTTCTAATGCAAAACTTAAAATGGTCTCCAGCATGAATTTTTTCTGTATATGTACTTCATACTTTTAATTTGAAGACAGGAACAATATGAACTAGCAGTGAGTTGTGTTAATAACTTACGTGCACGAGATATTTTCCAACACATTATAAATATTTATGAGGAAACTTAATTAAAAGCGATACCTGATTTAATCAACATCATATTTTCTTTTTTTGTTTCAGTGTTTACCATCAGAAATTGAGGTGAAATACAAAATGGCAGAATGTTACACAATGCTGAAGCAAGATAAAGATGCCATTGCTATTCTTGATGGGATTCCTTCCAGGCAGAGAACTCCAAAGGTGAATTCTGGCAGATTTTTGTCACAGGTTCTTGGTCAGTGTTCCTTTAGGGCAGAACATAAATATAGGTTTAATGGCATTATGTCTTTTTCATTAGTTAAATATTGTTTGGTAACATTTCCTAATTTTAAATTAGCTGGTTTGGACCCTTTTCTTTAAAATCAGTATATATTTTATTTTTTTTATTTACTCTGTTAGAAAGAATTTAAAGAAAAGGATAAAAGGAGTTAAATGTTTTGTGCATCTTTATTAACTTCTTGTGTAGCTGGAGCAATGCCAAGTCCTTGAAAGGCTGGAGACTTTGGCAAGTAGGTTTGCTGGTGCTCCATCTTTTAAAATCTTTTAATCCTGTTCAACAACAGTTTAGATAATGTTAAATATTTAGATCCCTTTGTGGTCTGCAGTGCCAAATCTGTGGAGTCTTTGCTCACTGGCTCTGTTACTCAGAAGGGCTTAAAAGATTAACACATCAGATCAGCCAACTGTGTTTCATGTTAAATTGTCCTAAAAGTGTACATGGCTTAAACTCCAGTTAATGTCAGAGTGTTCTGACCAACTTGCAGAACAGAAAAAGAAGAAAAGATTGAGAAAAGCAAACTTTTTGCCTATACAGACCATGAAATGAAATGAAAGTACTACAGCAGAAACCAGCTACTTATGTTGTGAGGAGCTCAGATAATTTCTGTTCTTTGGTCAATGCTGGCTTCATTCAGAGGCTGAATGGAAACTTTCTCTGCCTTGCTAAGCTAGTTCAAATGCTTCCATGGATAGAGAGGGATTCCTGGAAGGGACTGATTAATGGATATACAGATCCTGCTTGGTTGGCATTGTGTATGAGCACTTGCCTGTGGACATGATTTTCTGAACCTGAGAGAGTTTCAGTCTCTCAGTGGCTGATCTATTTCCCAAGGGAAAGACTTTTGGGAAACTTTTCTCTCTCAAGGGCTGTTGTATAAATAAGATTTTAGTTCTCAAAGGAATGACACAGATGTTCTGAAAGTGTTTTTCTCTTGTCCTACCAATGGGATGAGAGAGATGTTGTTCCTTGTACCAATCAGGTTAACCTGTATCGGAACACCTTATAAAAAGGGTTGAAAACCCCAAAATAAAAGCTTGGCTGCTTGCAGTAAGAACCCTTGCTTCATGCTTTGTGTCCACTAGCGCCACTTGCCCATCTTTTGACTTCCTTGATGCAAAACACAGATTTCAAGGTGCACTGTGTACGTACAAAAGAATGCTGATTTTATTTCTATACTCAGAAAGAAGCCACAGATTTCATTTTGTACTGTATTGTACCTTAGAGCGTTCTGAGAAATGCAGGTTGTCTTCTGCCCAGAGCAGAGGCAGGCAGGCTTGAAGACAGAGTTGTGACCTTTCTTAGTGATTCTTTCTCTTTCCTCACACTCGACTGTCCCACATTTCTGTTGTCTGCAGATCAATATGATGCTGGCAAATCTCTACAAGAAAGCAGGTCAGGAGCGCTCCTCGGTGACGAGCTACAAAGAGGTGCTGAGGCAGTGCCCCTTGGCCCTGGATGCCATCCTAGGTGGGTGTCTGCACTCTGTGAGCACTGCTAGAATTTTAATTACACTTTACACTTCTGTAACTGTCTTGCATTTGCATGTCATACCCACATCATACCCAGAAATTGTAACAAGCCCTGTTTGTGCTTGTCAAGGGTAGACAATTTGTATCAAAAGCAGTTTTGGCTGAGATTGATGTATGAACCCTCCAAACAGGTTTGCTCTCGCTGTCGGTGAAGGGAGCAGAAGTGGCCTCCATGACCATCAACATAATCCAGAGCATTCCCAACTTGGATTGGCTCTCTGTGTGGATCAAGGCATACGCCTTTGTGCATACTGGAGACAACACCAGAGCAATAAACACCATTTGGTAAGAGTTGAAAGAGTGTGGTGCAGTCAAATCATATATAAATTCTTATATATAATGATTTTCAAAATGTCATTTATAAATAATGGGCATTTTTTTCCCCTTTAAGCTCTTTAGAGAAGAAATCATTGCTGAGGGATAATGTGGACTTGCTGGGGAGCTTAGCAGATCTGTACTTCAGAGCTGGAGATAATAAAAACTCTATCCTAAAATTTGAACAAGCACAAATGCTGGATCCTTACCTAATAAAAGGTGAGTAAATCCTGAGATGGATCCTTACCTAATAAAAGGTGAGTAAATCCTGAGAGAAGGTAACAGCTACATGCAGTGGAATATTGTATATTGTTTACCCAGCTTTCAGTTCAGAATTGACATTCAGAAGCTGCATGTCTTAAACCCTTCCAGGTAGTTGCAGTTTAAAGTAGGTGTTTGTGGTTTTTGTGGCTTTTTTTTCTTGTGAATGATAGAGCCCTGGGTGGTATCTGGGTGAGTTGTTTTCTTTCTTTTCTCACCTCAGCTCTCCATTTGCTGGATGTGGTGGGTTACAGCTGGCACAGTGGGTTCAGCTTGTTTTGTTCAGAAGGTGCTTTTCCATTCGTGGGTAACTTGTATTAGCTCTCTGCAAATATCTATCGTGTTTATTTTCTGTACATTAAATCTATTAGTTACACACCTGTGCAATACCAACAATACATTAAATAGTAACAGTTTTAATATTTATACTGGGTTTTTTTAAAATTCCTGAAGAAATTTTTCTCTTAACTTCAAATGCAAGTAGTTCAAAACCCCCATAGTTTTTCCATGGTTTTTCCAGGCACCGCAGGCAGTGCATGTTTACAATCCCTCTCCTTTTTCTCTAGGTGTCACAGTTTCTACAGCAAACGATACTCCCGTGCCTTATACTTGGGAGCCAAAGCAATCCAGCTGAACAGCAACAGCGTCCAAGCCCTGCTGCTGAAGGGAGCTGCTCTGCGCAACATGGGCCGGGTGCAGGAGGCCATCATCCACTTCCGTGAGGCCATCCGGCTCGCGCCCTGCCGCCTCGACTGCTACGAGGGTGAGCCCTGGGCAGCTGCTCACAGCTGCTCTCTGTCAGGGCTGCTGTGGTGCTGGTGATGAGGCAAGGGAGTGGACAGCAGTTCTTTCCTCCTGTTGGCTTTCTAGGAAATAATTATTACCCTAAAAATCTACGATGTGATCAGGAGAGGGATGCGAGAGAAGGCGTGGATTTGTAAGAATGATTTTCAAAATGAGTTTTTCTTGGTTTTGTTTAGTATGGATGTAAACAAACGGGTGTTTTGAGCAGATCACTTTTGGGTGATGATGTTAACTGATGGTTACTTCTGCTGGGAGCTTTGTTTTGTCATATTTTAAATTTTTTAATCCTGTTGATTTCAACAGCAGCTTCAAGTAGTGAAGAGTCCAGTTGAAGTATTAATTATCTCAGTATTGGAACTGGACAACAGTGTTGTAGATTAGGTGTACTTAGGGTTGGGTTTTTTTTCAGTGCCTGACCATTAATAAACATCAAGTCAGTTATCTGTACAATGAGTATGTTGACATGCATAGATTCACTTTCTCAATTGCAATTTGTATTTGCTTATTGGAGCATGAGCTGTTCAGTACCTGAGTGCTACTAAGTGCAAATAATAGTGGAGGGGTGAGTGCCTGTGGTGCTGATTCAAACCCTGAAGTGTTTCCCTCTGACATCACCAGGGCTCATCGAGTGTTACCTGGCATCCAACAGCATCCGTGAAGCCATGGTGATGGCAAACAACGTCTACAAAACCCTGGGGGCAAATGCCCAGACCCTCACCCTGCTGGCCACAGTCTGCCTGGAGGACCCAGTCACGCAGGAAAAAGCAAAAACATTGCTGGATAAAGCTCTCACACAAAGACCTGACTACATTAAAGCTGTGGTAAAGAAAGCAGAACTCCTCAGTAAGTTCCTTTTCCCCCCATGTTTGTTTAAAGGTGCCCTGGTACATGGAAGGGTGTTCTGGAGCCACATGGATGTGGAGGATGTAACAGTGATGATACAGTCCCGGGGTTTATCAGGAAAAATCACAGAAATTAATTGCATCCAGCAGCTGATATTACACTTAAAGCAATTGCAAACAAAACGTTTTGACTTCAAAGCAGATGTAATTGTGAATGTAACAGCTATTGCAACAAAACATCATTGTTTAGAGCTCTTCTTGCAAGGAGAGCGCTGCTGTCCCCCCCTTGCTGACAGGTCTAGAGGGACGAATAGCCTTGTGTTGGGAAGACTGTGAACACTCTGTCTTTTTATAGATTTATCTCAACTATTGATGAAAACAGTAGTTTTGCCTGTGAACAGGTAGAGAGCAGAAGTATGAAGATGGGATTGCCCTGCTGAGGAATGCCCTGGCCAACCAGAGTGACTGTGTGCTGCACCGCATCCTGGGGGACTTCCTGGTGGCTGTCAACGAGTACCAGGAAGCCATGGACCAGTACAGCATAGCCCTGAGGTAAAGCACAGCCCCAGACTGCAGGAGGTTTATAAGAACCAATCATCAGTTTTACTGAGTAAAAAGATGAGCTGTTAATTGATTAGGATCAGAATCAGAGGTGGCTTTGTATCATTCTCCTTCAAAACAAGCAAAACAACCCAAATGACACCCTGTTCATGAATTGGTTGATCTTAAGACTTGGAACTGAGAAGTGCAAAATGTAGGGACTGTATTAATCACAAGGCTTGTGATTCCTTGACTTAACAAAAGGATTAAGGCATGGAATTATTTATAGTTATTAATTATTTTATAGTCAGACTTTAGGATCCATACACTAGAAGGTGCATATAAAAATGAGCTGTTTGATAAATTTAAGTAGTATGATTCAATTTAACATAATCTAAGTGCTATTTTAGGGTGTTACTTTGTTAAATATTCTGATGTTTTGATTGCAACATCTTTGCCTTAAAATCCAGCACATTATGTCCGCTGCAAACTTGCATAGCTTAAATGGGTCAGCTGCTTTTTGCCTGCATAGATTATATTTAGTCAGAGTCATTTAAATTTTTACTGCTTTCATGTTACTTTATAATTAGTATTGTTGGGAGAGGTGACTAAGTTTTCTGGAAGAGTGGGATGTTTAGATAAATGTGTTCTTGGGGATCAGAACTGTTTTATAAAGAGATTTAAGACTCAGTGTTACAGCAGCTCAAGGGGAAGTTGCATCATCATCTAAAATAAGCTTCCTGATGATGTTAAACAGGAAGTGCAGACAACAGGATGAGATTTTATTGTTACTCTTTACACGGAGGCCACAAAGAGAAAAAAAAAGTTTCCAGACAATGATTTTATTTTATTTCCTTTCTTCAGTTTGGATCCAAACGACCAGAAGTCACTGGAGGGATTGCAGAAAATGGAAAAAGAGGAAAGTCCAACAGATGCCACCCAGGAAGAAGATGTGGATGACATGGAAGGAAGTGGAGAAGAGGGGGACTTGGAAGGCAGTGACAGTGAAGCAGCTCAGTGGGCAGATCAAGAACAGTGGTTTGGGATGCAGTAAAAGCCTCCTGCTGCTTGTTTTGGCACTTGAACACATCACTAGGGCCACTCTTCTTAGAAGAACAGAAACTATGCTTTATTTTCAGTAACAAAGGACTTTTTTTTTGTTTGTTTTTGTTTTTTAATAGACTCTGAAACCAATTAATAGTTCTGTGCATCTCAATACTCTGGAGATTCTTGGTGCTTCTTATTTATTAAGTGTAAGGGACTAACTGCATCCAAGGTTATTCTTATTTATTAAGTGTAAGGGACTAACTGCATCCAAGGTTATTCACAACTTTAATTTGGAAAACTTCCTGCTAAGACTAAAACCATCAGAACCTGAGGTGTGTGATGAGCCTGCTGTTCATGATGAAAACAATGTCTGAGTTCTGTCCAGGGCTAAGTGTGCTTGGGCAAGTTGTAAATACAGTGGTTTGTACTCCTTTGTGGGAAGGGTCTTGCTCATTTGTATGCAGCCATTTGAGTCTGGGGGAGCTACTTGAGTGTGGCTGAAAGCAGAACTTTTCTTTTGCTGGGTTTGTTGAATTAATTTGTCTTTTTCTAGGGCATTACCTGTGCTGTCCAGAATAAATCTGGGACAAAGGCAACTTGGACTTGCAGGACACCTTTTGTAGCTGACTGATTTCTCTGTGTACAGAATTGAGCCAGTGGTGGAGAATTAAAGTCATTTCTTCAACCCTTATTAAACCCTGCAATCACTTAAAGTCTGTACATGAGCATTTATTTTAAAATGCAGTTTTATTTCAGTATGTTCCTGGAAGGTTTTGCAGCAATGACTCAAAGCACTTTACATTCTGTGTACAGCACTGACATTTAAAATGCTATAAAAAGAATTCATTCCTCTTCCCTTGCACTGCTGGAGAAATGTTAAATTATGTAAATACACATATTGTCCTGTTTTTTCCACGTTTATATACTTCCTGGTTTTGTCAGGTAATTTTTGAATTCATGTCTTTTCCCCTCACCTTTGGAAGCAAAATTGCTTCACATACAAATTCCCACCATCAGCATTTCAAGGGTGAACTGCTTTGGGTAATCTAGAAACTGTTTCAGTTCTGTGGGCTTGATGTGTGGGAAGAGGAATTACTTATTTTTCTTACAGTTCTGATTTCCTTAGTCTTTACCAAAACATGCTTTTTTAATCTTTATATCAAGAGTTTAATTCCTTTTGTATTTATTTTGTTACCACAGGTATGCTGGAGAGCACAGAGCTTTTAGAAAGCTAAAAAAAAAATAGTTTTGAGTAACAGCTGCAAGGAAGAGTGGCTGTTAAAAATACATGACATGGAAAAGAAGCTTCTCCCTGACAGGTAGATAAGGGTAAAATATCCCTTTGTGATATTGTATCAAAAATGCACAACAAAAGAGGCAGATTATTGTCTGTTTTGGAAATGTTCTGGTATGTCATGGCTTACAGAGGAGGAGTCCAATAGTTCATCCATTTAAGAAAAGAAAGCAGCTGCTTGTCTTTTCTCTCTGGAATTCTGTGGGCTTTAGAGTTCCAAAATACTGAGTTATGGTTATTTGAAGGTGATAGGGGAAGAACAGCAGAGCAGAGCTGTCCTGGCAGTTGGATTTGGCATCAGCTGCTCCTGCTCTTCCCACCAAATGTGTGCATCTCAGGGAGAGCAAATATTTCATTAATGACTTTTTGGCAGATGAGAGGCCTCGTCCTGTTCGTGTCTTTGCCGTTGCTGTGGGATGCAGTGAATGGATTTCAGCTCATCACGTGTCTCGTAACAGAAAAAACGTGCAAGCATATTCAAAGCATCTGTTTTTATATAAAAGAACTTTGCTTTCTCCTCACACTCAGCATTCACCAGACATATTCTGCAGCTGAAAGCTGGGTAGCTGCATTAGCTTTCTAGTTGTATTCCAGACTTCTGCTGTGGATGAAAATTGAGTTGTTTGTGTTACTAAACTAAAGACAGGATACATTTAATTGTGATGAGGAATATATGTAGGAGGTATGTGATGTGTTTTTATTCTAATGGTACCTTTGCATAGGTCATTAATTTCAGGTGGAAACCACTGGCTTTACACATTTCTCTGAAGTATTTACATAGAAGAGGAAACTGGAGAGCCACAGTTCTGTTGAAACCATTCTGTAGTGTGTTTGTAGATAATGTGATAATCTCTGCTTTTAGAACAGACAGGAAACTAAAACTACTTCAAGATGAGTCCTTAGGTGCAGCTTGAGCAAACAAGTCCAGGCACAGCTCAGAACACCTTGAGATGGCTGTCAAAAGTGATTTGTATCCTCACAGCTTTGGTTTTCTGAGAACTTGGTTCCTTACTGAAAATGAGAAGCTGTGAGTCTGCAGATGAAGCCTGGTGAGTACCTGATGTGTTGGAGTTACACAGCTGTGTGTGATCTTTGCTGAGATCACTGCCTGTGGAACTTTGAGGTGCCATGCATGTTGAGATTGTGTAGAGAGATATATTTGGCCCTCACTTCAGAATTCTAGAGGGATTCTGCTTGCCTATTAATGAGCCTTCATTACTGCTTTAATTTTAGAATGTGATCTCTGGTTCTGCAGAGGTCTGGTACTCTCCAATGCAGTTACAGGCACTTAGTGCAGGGAATATAACAATTAGCCCTTAATAAGCAGCTGACCTCATTCCCTCCCTCAGTCACATGCTCTGCACCTGAGAAGAAAAGATCACAAAGCCAAGAACTGAAGTTCAGGCTGTGTTAGATCAGTGGTGGAAGTGAAACAGTTTGGACATGAGGCAAGAAATCTCCATCCAGTTGTACTGTAAAGTGTTGGTGTGTCTGAGGTGCTGATCTGGGGCTGGGTAAGGGCAGAGTGCCCCTGTTTGCCTGAAATCCTTGCATTTAAATCATATATTTCAATACTAACATTTAATTCTTTCCTACTTTGACAGGAAGTGATGGGAGAGGGACAGAATTTTTTCAAACTGTACATGAACTTCTAAGGTCTAAAAGGCTGAATTTACCAGAGTCTAAAAGTAGCACACATTCATGGCGTGGCTAGAAATTACCTAAATAATGAATTTACTCCTATCATGTGCTGATAACACCTGCGATACTGGCAGTGTTTCTAATTCTGAAGATTTCTACATCATAGGAATTCTGGAATTGTGAAGCAGAAATAAGGGAGGGACTGAGGACTGCTGGCCAATATTGGTGTTCTCTACTGAACTAGGTGCTGCTTCTTTTTCTGCTTCTTCTGATTACAGAGAGATTTTTAACTGTCTTCCTCATTAAGCCTCTTTGTGTGGTGATTCTTCCCTCCTTGCTTTTCAGGAGCTCAGTGATGTGGAAACTGATCCATCCAGGGCAGCAGCAGGCAGGATTTCTGATTCAGCAAACTTTATTCCCTCATTTAGATCTCAGTGGTAAGGAAATCTCAAAGGCTGTGTCTGCCACTGTCATTTCAAGTTACACAAACATACCACAACCAAATATACTTTAAAAACCCAGATCTTCAGTCTCTGTGGGTCTTAAATTCAGTGACCTTAGGAAAGCTTAAACTCAGTATGAACCTATGATTTCAAACTAGCCTTAGTTGGTTAAAATGTCCTTTGGAAGCTGGCCAAGAGGAGGCAAGGATATGTCTATAAGACTGGCTGTTTGGGAAGGAAATAGATAATAAAATACAGTTATTTTGGTGCAAACAACTTGGGGAAAGAATAAAATGTTTACCTGGGGAACTTCAGAGTAACAATTTATATATTAAGGGAAGTCCTTTGGCTAGTCCATGGCTATCACTTGATGGAACAACAAAATAGAAAGAATAATCTCTGTTTTCACTCACTGGCTCGAGCCTGGCCTTTGCTTTGCAAAGTCTGGGGTGTGGGTCCCCAGTGGATGTTTACTCTGTACAAGGCTCCCTTTCCAAGAGCTTCCAGAGGAGCCAAGAACTGTGAGTTTGGAGATCAGATGATGACCTCCCAAAACAGTGATGTGGCAAATAGGGTGATAGTTTGGGGTATGAGGTAAAACTCTGGAGCCTGATAAATTGATGTCCAAAGTCTTCTCTGCACTTCCATGTGGGTAAATTGTTGGGGTAAAATCTTTTAGAAGACCTGTTCAGGTGCTCAGAGCTTCTCACTTTTCTCTCCCACTCTCCTGGGGGTGGATGTGGGCTCTAATCATACTCAAATTCACCACCAGGTAAAAATAGGGATTTTCTGCCCTCTGTATTTAGAGTTTAATGTAATATGTCCATAATGCCTCATAACTTGAGCTGTGGGGAGTGGTTTCTTTGCTCTGTGCTGTCAGTGGGCTCATCCATGTGGTGCTTTAGAGCTGGGGGTTTGCAGGGAGAAGAGCAGGAGGAGGGGGAAGATGAAGTTGTTTATTTCAGCACTTCTTAGCACATATTCTTGCACTGAGCACCTTGGCAACCCACTGAGCATCACGTTCTCCTCACATGGCTGTACTCCAGCTGGGGGACTCGTTCTGCTTAAACTTGCAGATCCTCATTTAAAGAAATGTTAAAAAGAAAGGTGTGAGTTGGTGTGAGTTTGCTCGGGAGCTGCTGGCACCGGCTGCTGAATAACGAGTTCCCATCATGGCCGAGCTCTCCTTTTGGCAGCGCTGCTGGGGACAATTCCCACATGCAGAAGAAAGGGGCAGGAGAGCAGCCGGGCTGGAGCGAGCTCCACACGGGTGCGTTGGTACAACACTGATGGGGATCGCTGAAAAACCTCCCTTTTCCCAGCCAGGCTGAGGCTGTCAAAGGCAAGAGCTGCTCATGGGGCGCTTCCCCCGCCTGTCCTGGCCCAAGGGCTGCGGTCCGAGCTGGGATGTGCCGGGGCTGTGCTGGGGGAGCGGTGCTGACAGCGCTGGCCCTGTGTGCCAAGGCCCGGCTCTCAATCGGGTGGATAAGGGAGCTCTGACAGCCCCGGGGCGAGCAGCAGAGCTCAGCCTGCCCAGCACAGCCATACCATAGTAGGAAGCAGCCACCAGCAGCTCAGCCCGATGCGTTAATGCAGCCTCCACCATCCTATAGAGCTGCCGGACCACGGAATTCGACCCTCGTATTTTTAAACCTCACGCTGTTGCGTTTGAAGGGCCTCAGATGTGTCACCTCATTTGGATAAGGCTGTTTGCCAGCAGGGTGCTGCTATCAGGGGCTGGAGGATAAGAGGCATTACATTTAATGTAAAACACATTCCTAAGTTGTCTCTTACTCCAAACAAAATGTGGTGTTTGGGCTTTGGAGCAGAGCATTACAGGACACTTGGAAATTCCAGCTTTTACCCTGGGAGTGCTTTAGCCTTGCCCAGCAGCAGCCTGGGTTTGGGGAAGGGAGTGAGCCCAAACTGCCAAGCAGGATGCTCGTGGTGTGGTTTGGAGCAAACACATTTAGCTCATCTTCCTTTTGCCTATGGAAAAGGAAGAGATCAGGAGCTACTTTAGGCTGGGGCAATTTAGAAAACAGAAAAGGACAAAAAAAAAAAAATAATAAAGATGTAGTTGGGAAAGAATTGTTTATTTTACGTTTCTCAGAGGGATTTTACAAACAATGGAGCATTTTAAAAAAACTGAGTGATCAAAGTACTTGACAGTGTCCCTTAAACACACACACAAGCCCCTGGACAGAGGAAATCACACCAGCGAGGAGGTCAATACTGCCGAGGAGAGCAGCTGCATCTGCATAGTTCTAGGAGGAAAGATTGCAATGGTGGTGTTGGTGCTAAAAAGTGACATCTTGGCATTAAAATAAGAGCG